TAAGGCACTTGACTGCTAACCAGAAGGCTGGCGGTTCAAACCCACCAGCTACTCCTCGGAAGGAAGATGGGGCAATCTACTTCTGTAGTGATACTACCTCGGAAGCCCAAGGAGGGGTCGCTATGAGTTGGGGCTGACTCGACGGCACATAACAACAACAACAACATGTAGTGCTTCATATCCTGCTCCTTCATCTTTTTAAACTCTAGCATTTATCAGTACCAAACATACTACCAAAGGAGCCAGGTGGCATGGCAGTTAAAGTACTTGGCTGCTAACCAAAAGATCAGCAGTTTGAACCCACCAGCTGCTCCACAGGTGAAAGATGAGGCAGTCTGTTTCCGCAAAGCTTCACAACCTTGCAAAACCTATGGGGCCGTTCTACTCTATCCTATAATGGTTGCTATGACTCAGAATTGACATGATGGCAGTAAGCGAAAACATACATTAAAATATGTATATAATTTTTCAATATATATTTACATATATATATGTATATATAGGTTGAATATACTTTATAAAGTAAGAAGTATATATTGTATGTATATGTGTGTGTGTGTGGTGTGTATATTGTTGCTGTTGTTGTTGTTATGTGCCGTCGAGTTGGCCCTGACTCATAGCGACCCTTCCTTGGGTTTCCGAGGCAGTATCACTACGGAAGTAGGATTGCCCAACCTTCCTTCCGAGGAGTGGCTGGTGGGTTTCAACCGCCAGCCTTCTGGTTAGCAGTCAAGTGCTTTAGCCACTATGCTAGCAGAGCTCCTATATATTCAAGTGAAATCAGTAGACACTAAATGAGACAAATATATACATATATATATTTGTCTCATTTAGTGTCTACTGATTTCACTTGAATGTAAGTCTAAGGATTTTTTTTTCCTGTTTTGTTTACAAATCTATCTTCAGTACCTGGAAGAATGCCTGGCATACAGCAAGTGCTCAATAAATATTTACCGAATGAAAAAAATAAATACTACCTCTTACCTTTTCATATGGACTTTCCCAATAACAGCCTTCGGTTGATCTACATGATAACAATAATTCATTTCATCTCAAATCATTAAGATACTATGATGAATAGGCTACAACTATTTTTTTTTCCACTTCATGACAGAGAACATATCCTTGTATGATGCATAATATTACTAAGATTCCAGAGTATGTAATTTCTATTATTATGATGCTGGGGAAAATTGTACCCAGAACCAAACCCAGTAGATAATATCTGGGCTCAAAATATGTAATGATTTAAAGCACAGCATTCATCTAAACTTGAATAAGAAGACCAACCTAGAAAGCACATTAGGAACCAGTTTTATAACTTACTTGGAGGTTCATTATTTTCACAGGTTTCCTTTGCAGTTGGTGCTTCCTCTTCTTCTTCCTCTTCTTCTGGGTCATCAGTATCTCCTGACTCATCACTGTCTTCCACCCATTTCCCTGGCATTAGTCCTGCTGAGTCATAGGAGTTGCACAGAGGACCCACAATGTGAGAGATGAAGGATTCCTGAAGATTGGCCAGCTGAGGAGCAGAACGGTCCATAAAGGGGCTTATTGGTAGTCCAAGACTGGCCTCTTCATCACCCTAGAAACAGAAATTCAGCATAACTAGTTAATGGTAGACACTGTTAACTAGTAGACTATGGTAGACATGTTAAATAGACATGAAAAGTTTAAAATGCAAGTAAAATAAGTATTGAACTGGCATCTTAAGTAAGTAGGTACAAAAGAATCCAAACACTCGTGTGCAAACTGGCTCTTTACTTGACTGTTAAAGGATTCTACCCCAAATCATTAAGATTCCTAAAGAAATGCTTTATTGTCATTTACCATTCTGGTGACCTTAATGTTTTGTCTTTTTATCAAGATGAAATATAAGAAGTGGTTCTTAATGGGTCAGTTAATGATATTTCTTATCGCACTAGTCAGTATCCCTCATGTTAGAATATAAATGCATCATAAAATGTAATGCTGGGAATTTTTTTTTCTCTGCTACAAAAAAAGAGTTATTTTTAATCAAACAGATATTTAGTCTATCAGTTTTTTATCTGACTTTCAGAAAGTTTAAAATAATTTATTTCTCAATTAATATTGCCACTTTAGCTCAGATTTTGATTGACTTATATCTTCTGGGATTACATGCTTTCTGATATTTCTTTTTTATCTATATGTTTAATAGTATTATTGCATAATTATTGTATCATTTTGAGTGGCTACAAATATTTCTGAAAAAATTAACAGACTGTAAACCAGAAGTTATCTAGCAATATTAATGAAGGTATACCAACAATGGTGATGCTTAGGTAGTGGGATTATGCATATATTTTGCTTATAATTTATTTCAATATTTCATTTGATATCAGAGATTTCACATATTATTATAAATTATTTCAATTCCTAGGAAAGAACACATTATTTTTAAAAAGCACAAGTCCTTTTTTCTATACAGGAATCTCACCTTAGTATCCATAAAAGTGCTCTCTGATCTGCTTAAATATGTCCAGTGACAGGTAGTTTATTACTTTATAAAGTACTTAAAGTACTTCAACTTATATTCAGATGCCTTTAGTAATATACATTTATTTCTGACTTTTACCTTAAATGTATCTCTCTATAACTTCTTTAGGGTTCTCATATTCATAACCATTTTTAGAGAAGTAGAGAGAGAAATAATGTTTCTTATAAATTAGAACCTTTATTAAGTACTTTTAATGAGCTCTGGTGGTGTACTGGTTAAGGCATTTGGGTGCTAACGAAAAGGTCAGTGGTTCAAACCCATCAGCTATTTCACAGAAGAAAGATAATGTGGTCCACTTCTGTAAAGATTTACAGCCTTGGATACCCAATGAGGGTTGCTATGAGTTGGAGTCATCTCAATGGCTGTGAGGTTTCTTTTTTTTGTGGTAATAAGTAATTTACATAATTTCTCTTTTTTTAATCTCCACAACAATGCTATGATAAACCTAATCCTAAATTTGTATGTCTGTCCTTTAAATCCAGGAAGATAGTTACTACATCACCTCTATCTTCCTCCTGCATGAATATCTTCACTTCTTTCATATTCTTTTACATCATTGATCCCTTTCCTTGCACATGTTCTGTTACCTCCACATCCTTCTTAAGAGGGTATTCATACTACTGAACACAAACTTTCAAGTATCATCTGATCAGTGTAGGGTAATATAGGGAAGATTATACATGATTATGCTTTTGTAATAGGTTTTTTTCATCATTTCCTGATTCTCATATTATCATGTCAAATAAAATGCCTTTTTGGCCTACCATTTATTGCTGTTATTAATTTTATCAGAAAAGAAAATGAAGAGAGTTTAAACAGTTCAGTTACCTGTTCATAAAATTCATTGACAATACCCTCTGTCCACTGAAGATGGAGTTCCTTACATTTAGCTGGTCCATTGATATCAGCCAACTTTATACACATTTGACAAACCAGTAGACGATCATTTTCATTGGTCCAATCTATTCCAACATCATCATTTACCTGTTTTAAAGATAAAGTTAAAATGTGTTTGGCCTCAATGAAAGAAAATGCTTACAGGAGCAAAAACAAGAAAATATTCATTGTCTCCCTACCATGTGGAGATCAGAATACCAAGTATCGAGGAACTTCTTAGCTATTTGAAATAATGCTAATGGTTTGCATATATTAACAGGAAAATCGTTCATTCAAAAGGAAAATAATGAATGATAAATAAAATACTCAATTACTAATTATAGAATTTTTCAATAAATCCTATCAAAATTAGCATATGTTACCAATTACCATTAAAGTTCCACAGCTATAAATGATATTTTCTTGAATTAAGATTTTGGGCATTTATGTATAATATATGAGGGTTTTTTTTCCCCCGGTTTTTCTACTTTTCTTTCTGCCAGAAATTTATGTTACTAGATCATAGAGTAGAGAGAAAATTAAAGCAAATGGAAAAAGCACAACTAGAATTAGAATTTTATTATTCCTCTACAGTACAAAGTATAAAATACACATATAACACTTCAGCTTCTAAGGTTTCCAGGTTGGGACCAAGGCCTTTATATTTGCTTCTGACTAAACATTGCATTTTCACATTTGACACATAAGAGTCACTAACAATGAGTTCAGTTCAAGGCTTTAGTTTTGTGACTTCTTTCAATGTGGTCATAAAATGAAGACTGGTACATGTCTAATTACCTTGGCATTAAATTTGGCTACAAAGTCAAAGTGTTTCTTCAGGTCAGTGGCCAAAATTGCTTCAATGACAAGGAAACGGAAATGCTTAAATTCCACATGGTCAAGGTTAACTAGGAAGTTATACTCTGTCCGGGACATGAAAAGATTCCATGCGGCAGCTGCATGATGATTCTCCAACACTGAACGATCATTATATAGCACTGCCTAGGTAAATAAGCAAGAGAGAAGAGTTCAACTTTTAAAGTTAAAATACATACATATATATATGTATGTATTTTACACATATATATATATATATATATATATATGTATATATATATATATATATATATATATACACACGAGCATTTGCAATGTTTTTGAAATCACTCTTTATTATGAAACTCACAATTGTAATCTGTGGATCCTGGCTATTTAAGTCTTACTTATTGCTATACAAATGACTAAAAGAAAGTCGTTTTTCTTTTAGTTTAATTTCCTTTATTGTAAAATAATTTTCTTTCCTTGAAACTTTATTCTAAACTCTTCTGAGGACTATTAGCTTCTCTTAAAAGAGTTAGCTTTTTCAGATTTCTTTGTAGGGCAAGGAACTTAAGCAATAAAATATACACATATAAATATACTTACATCCCTCAAAACATCCCTAGGAGATAACTCAGTTACATTCTACTTTGGGCATAAGAATTACCTTAATTAAACATATATAATTAATAGGATGAACAGACTCCCTGAGAAGCCCACAATTAAAATCATCCATAAACAATGTTACCCTCTTTCTAGTAATTGAGAATATATAGTAAGTATCTCAGGGATGCTGCAGAGGAAGAGGAAATTGGCTACAGGAAGCTTGAATATTAGTGTGGAAGACAGGCTGTAGAAGGAAAACAAGTGAGTTAGAACTAAAAGGAAAGATAAAGCACATGGAAATTCATATTGGTATGATAAAAATGCACAGGGGTAGTGGAAAATCAGATTGGCAAACGGTTCTGGCCAAAGAATTTGCCCGGCTATCTTTAGTGAAAATAATTCTGGTGTGTGAAGGACAGAATGAAAGAAGGTAAAGTTGGTTGGCATTTAAAATATATCAGGACAATTTTTATAGTATAGAGATTAGAGAAATATTCTAGACTATAGAGAAAGATGGGAGTGGGACAAAAGACAAAAGGCAAACAAGGAAAAAAAAAAAGTTAATATGGTAATAGATTTGCCTTTGAAAGAAAGAAGATCCAGCATCTTGGGACAGTTATTAACATGGGTCCAAATAACTAAATCAAGAGGAAGTTGAGTTTGATCAGACAGCTATGGATGCCTAGATATTTAGTGATTTATTTTTTATTTAGATTGAATATACATCAAAATGAATTTCTTGAAAGTTATTCACTGTTTTTGAATCTATCTTCAGGTAAAAAAATTCTCTCAAATAAGTGAAATAAATTGATCTTTAATTTTCATTAACCAATAGAATAGCTATAAGAATCATACTTAAAACAAATATACTTTAAAGGAATGGGATTCATATACAAAGAAGACATATTCTTAGAAGTGCAATAAATATTTGGTTCTCTAATTTTTTCAGAAAGGGACTTCATGTAGGTTAGACTTTCTTTCTTAAGGAAGTTTATTAACACTAATTCAAGCATTCAAGCAGTTTTTTTCCTAAGAAGAAAATTGAGAAGGAACCCTCATCGGTGATAAAGAAAGTTGCATACCTGCCCGTAATATCTTGTAATAAACTATGACATATTTTTGGAATTAGTATGGCCTCTAAGAATTGTATCTATAAGGAGCTCTGGTGGCACAGTGCCCAAGGCATTTGGCACTGCTAATCAGAAGGCTGGTGGTTCAAACCCACCAGCTGCTCCAGAGAAGGAAGATGGAGCAATCTATTTCCAAAAAGATTTAGTGCCTTGGAAACCCAATGGGGGTCGCTATGAATCAGAATTGAGTTAATGGCAATGAGTTTGGTTTGGTTTGGGAAGATATAGTTTGACTTATACTTATTTTGTGCTTATTGGAAGTCAAATTTTTAAAATTGATTTTCTTTGGAGAAAGGCCAATTGAATCATTATTATTATTATTTAATCAAAACCTAAAGATTTTACCTGAGGAGCACTAGTTGCAACCAGAAAGGCATTAGTCCTTCCTGGGTGATCGTAATCATGCATGGCTGCTGCCACATATAGTGCCATCAATTCTAAGGCAGGGATGTTCCCAGACAGACATCCATATTTATCATCTGATACATTATACATCTTTGAGAATACATATCCCATATGTCCATGTGTAAATCCGCTATCAGAATCTGAGAAGAGAAAATGGAAGCAATAGAAAAATTTTAAAAATATTAAATTGATATAATTTGCTTTGATGTTCTTTAAAAAACAAAAACAAGACAATAGGGAAAGTATAGACCCCAAAACTTTTTTGCTTCTGTCTTTTACAAGGGAATACAGTGCCTAAGGCACTTGACTGCTCACCAGAAGTCTGGCGGTTCAAACCCACCAGCCACTCCTCGGAAGGAAGGGGGCAATCCTACTTCCGTAGTGATACTGCCTTGGAAACCCAAGGAGGGGTCGCTATGAGTCGGGGCCGACTTGACGGCAAACAACAACAACAACAACAAATATACTTTATGGAATACCTGAATCACTTGCTGACCCGTGATCATTAATTACAGTTGAGAGTCCTGGAATAGGTTGTGTAGTAAGAAACCAAACAGCATGTAAGACATCAGTGGCATGGATTCTGTTATGATCTGTAAGCAATGCAAAGAAGTCATTAAAAGGTGAACTTTGGGGTCCAAGGACTAAGAGTGCCACCTACTGGATGAACAGTTTAGTCCCAGCATGTTAATACCCCAGTCAAAGCCAGCCAAACTTTTATGACCAATATTCTGATTACTCTTCCATAATGGTATGATATCCACAGCAACAACGGGGGGAAAAAAAAAACACTCACAACATTCATTATGCATGCAGATGCCTGAAGTGGAAAATCTGTGTCCAGAGTCCACTAGATACTTATGCACATAGGAAACTCACTATGTGAAACAATTGTAATGTTTGCTCTTGTACTTATTTCCATGCTCCTGTAGAAGACCATGTACAGAAACAGAATAAAAGAAAGACCTATGACATACTTTCACTAAGTGAGACCAATGGCCCATACTATCTAAAATTCCACCTCTGATAAATAGCACCCAAATATAATCTATGGCTGGAATATAGTACTATTCATCATATCAAAACACTGAAATAAAAATGAATAATATGTCTTTTATATGTTGATTAAACCCATCAAGCAAAATTCAAAATCAAAATACATTATGTTCTCTGATCTGGAAATTCTAATGTTGGAATATAGTTCTAGGAAGTACCTAAACAGAAAACAAAGTCCTCTTTGAATAATAATGTTGGAAGTTTAGCCATTTAGAAGAGTAAAGACTGTGGAAATTGACACATTTTCCAGTTATACTGTCATTATAACAAGGAGGAAATCTCATCTAAAGGTACGGCTCAGCTTCTATTGAACCATGCCTAAACTTCCAGTGTGCTCTTAGCTCACCTGTTTTTTCTGGTACAATTCTTCCAGGTTTTTCTGCCTCCTTCTACAAACACTTTATTGAGTGGCATGCTTTATCCTAAATGTACTAACGTTACACGTGTTATTCAACTAACTAATCATGGCAGAGTTTCCTTCTCTAATATAATTGATCAGTTCTCTGAATAATACTCAACAGTTAGGAGGTGAGAAACAGAAGAGAACAAGAAGAATGCTAATGGGAAAACAGAAGAAGCACTTGTTTCTTGCTCTTATCAGGGAAGAAAGCTACAACATCTATGGAGTTAGTGACATCCAGGTGGATAGATGGTGGGTAGATGGTGCCTCTTTTCTTACATTTCTGGAAACTCTCAGGAGTCAGTCTTTAAGTGATGACAAGTTAAATCTTAGTCAAACACAGGAATTCAGTCTAGGAGCCCAAGTGTGAGCTTGAGAAATCTTCTCAGCAGGGCTTTAAGAAAAAGACCTCATAGGCTCTGTGTCTTTGCTACGTATTAATACTGACATTACATAGTACTTTAAAGAACAATTTTATTAACATTGGGATTTATTCCTGAGTATATAACATCTCAAGCACTTCAAGACAATTACATTTTATGTTGAGTATGCTAGCATTTTCTAGACTTGGGACAGAACTGGTTAGTTTCATTTCCTGATGGTAAAAATGTTGAGATAATACTAGAACTTATCTTATATAGCACAATTGTAAGGATCCCAGAAAGAAATATATTGTAAAGTACCTGACATGTACTAAGCTTTCAATTAATGATAAATACTATTCACATAAAATAAATTGCTGCTGTAGAACAAGATGAGGAACCAGCACAGATAGCCATGTCTCTCCAAAATCAACGCTGCATCTGTAGGGACAGGATTGGAGCAGTAAAAGGAAAGCTATTCTAAACCTCCGGGGTGGCAAAAGGAAGTGGTGACCAGGAATAGGAGGAAAGTAGCAGCCTGGGCAGAGGGTACCACTGCTGGGGAGAGCTTCTTCATCAAGTTATTTTCTTTTCCCTCATTGCAAGCTAAGAAGATTACAGCATGAAAGTAATCACCATTACCATTCAGGTTAGAGGAACCTGAACATGAGTCCAGCATTACAAGAGTGGATGAGGCAGCATCAGGATATTGGCAGAGCTTGGTTGGAGTGTGGAATAGACAACAACAAATACAGGCAAACTTGGAGATCTGAGCTGTTCTATTCCCTGTCCTGTCCCCCACCCCAAGGTCCACTTGATTTTATTGGTGTTTTTCACAAACTTTGAAGGAACAAACCATCCTATAAATAATTTAGTTCATAAAACAGAAAAGAAGGAAAACTTCCAAACTCCTTTTAGAAGGTTAGTGTTGGTCAAGCACTTTACTAGTAGCCAAAAGGTTGGTGTTTGAACCAACCCAGAGTGCTTCAGAAGACAGGCCAGGCAATTTGCTTCCAAGAGGTCATAACTTTGAAAACCCTATGGAGCAGTTGTACTCTACACACATGGCGTCACCATGAATCAGAATGGATGTGATGGCAACTAGCAAAAACAACAGTATGATCTTGCTTTAAAAATTAGACAAAGGTATTATATGGAAAAAATACTATTTTTGCTTATAATTATAGGTTGAAAAGTCCTAAATGAAACAATAGTCAACCAAATCGAACTGTTTAAATATATATGTCTAGGTATGTATGTGTATATAAAAGAATTACATCATCACCTATCACTTATGGAGAAAGAAAAGTAATCTGCCTTGTAAACAGTCAATAACATGTTTATTAAATAAATCTTCACTTAATAAAGGAGCGTGGTGGCACAGTGGTTCAAGCAATAAGCTGATAACCAAAAGGCTGGTGGTTTGAATTCACCAGCAGCTCAGCAGAGAAAGATGAGGCAGTCTTCTTTCATAAAGATTACATAACCTTGGAAACTCTATGGGACCATTCTACTTTGATAGGGTTGCCATGCACTGGAGTAGACTTGACAACAACCAGCAATGGGTTTTGGTTTCATTTGCAACTATCGTACCCAGTGCTGGTATCTCTGTTGCCTTTTTCATTAGCCCTCTGGTGACCCAACCCAGGAGCAAAAGAACCCAGGAAATAGCAAGCTAGGTCAATGGAGAGTATCAACAGGCTTCTGTATGATACATAGAAATGTGCAAAGATTCCTTTTCTCGCTCTACGTTGGGCAACAGAGAGGGATAAAGAACTCTATCAGACGTCTCCTTATTTTATTCTCATCATCATCATCTCTCTTCCTTCATCTCTGCAGGTTAAACAAACACCTAATGTTCTTTTTCAATTCCCGTGCCCACCTGGCAATCCCCTCTCCCTCTTGACAACACATAAACACACATGCACACACTAACACATCACACACCCTACCTCTTTCTCAGAGTCTGCCCATCTCCCTCTTCTGTCTTGATACACTTGTTTTCTCAACTTTCTCCTTATCCCTCAAGCACAGAGTTGAAGTGAGCTGGTATGGAGGGGGTTGGAGTTGTATGTAAATTTTATAGATTTCTTGACCCAAATTTATAGATTTTCAATTCAAAATTCTGTGTATGCTGAAATGCATCATAGGCTGAGGGAAGCAACATTTTAACTTTTTTTCTTTGGAATGTAGCCAATATTATAATCTTTCTCCCCTTCTAGCTTGTACTGTATTACCTGATTATGTAGCTTTAAAACTGATGAACATCATACATAGCTTCATTGAACTGAGCTAAACATAAGCTGAGCCAAACAATTCTCATGTCTGCCATTAAATAGCTACATGATCAAAGGCACTTCTGAGATAGTTTCCTCATCTCTCAAACTTGAATACCAAGAGTGAGAGGTATGAAGAGGTATCACATTTTAGAGATGAAAGTATTTAAAAACAGGAAAAATGCACCCTCACAAATAAGTTTGGATGCATCAATTAATGTGATCTGGTGATTTATCTTTTCTAGTCAAAATGGAGCTCTGGTAGCATAGTGGCTAAGACACTTGCCTGCTAACCAGACGGCTGGCGGTTCAAACCCACCAGCCACTCCTCGGAAGGAAGGTTGGGCAATCCTACTTCCGTAGTGATACTGCCTTGGAAACCCAAGGAGGGGTCGCTATGAGTCAGGTTTGACTCGACGGCACATAACAACAACAACAACAGTCAAAATGGCCAATTGAAATGGACTATAAACAATACCAAACATAATTTATCTCCTGGTAACAGTTGGGTATTAACCATACCTAATACTTACTGATTATAAATGTGTAATACATGTCTATCAATGAACTGCCTATATTGCCTTACCCACTCTGACTCCATGAAATAAGTATACAGTAAAACTTTTGAGAGCCAGAACTCAATGGGACTGCTTCAGTTTTCTGGGTCTTGCTGAGTTTTCCACCTTTGACAGGGTGCAGGTTTTACCAGTTTTCCATTGCTCATTTTAGTGGAAAATATTTCAATTTTTTCTTTTCTGACATGTGTCTGCCTTGTTGTTGTTATGTGCCGTGGAGTCAGACCCGACTCATAGTGACCTCTCCTTGGCTTTCCAAGGCGGTATCACTATGGAAGTAGATTGCCCAACCTTCCCTCCATATATATGGTACATATATGGAGCACTGGTGGCGTAGTTCCTAAGGCATTTGACTGCTAACCAGAAGGTTGGAGGTTCAAACCCACTAGCAATTTCCTGGAAGGGAGACTGGGCAGTCTACTTCAGTAAAGATTTACTGCCTTAGAAACCCACAGGGGGTCACTATGAGTTGGAATTGACTCAATGGCAGTGAGTTTGGTTTTTAATATATTTTAATTCATATTCTAAAGGTGTAACCAGAATGCTGAAAAAAAATCAGTTCTAATATCTTAGCTCATTTTTGTATTAAAGTTAACCCAATTCCATGTTCACTTTGGTTAATCTTTAGACTTTTTTTTCTAATTAATTATGGATTTTTTTTAGATGAAGCTATTAGAAATCTAATTCTCTATGAGTAAATGTTTAAATAACTACACATACAACAAATTTTGTATATGCTAATTATAACTAATGATATGCAAAATTTTAAATAAATATCTATATTAATCTAAATTTAGAACCTCAGCAGATACAAGATATTATAAACGTTCATCAAACTAAAGCTTCACTGCAAAAGATGTACATAAACTCATTTATGGAAAGCGTCTAGAATAGCTAATAGAACAAGTAGCTTCATTACATCAATTCTTTTTATATGGAATGTGAATGTTGCAGGAAAAAAGTTATTCACTTATAGAAAAATGTAACAAGATATAAAATTATAATAAAATTTAGAATCTAGAGACTTCTTTTTTACACTTAAATACTGGTCACCTTTTCCTATGATTTAATGACATAATACTTGGAGAAAAGTTAGTAGATATTATATCTATAGTGTCAGGCATCAATTTAAACTAAAAGAATTTGGCTATTGTTGATTATATCCTTAAGATATATTTGGAAATATAATACAACTTTGGATATTCAGTCTGGTGACTAGCTTTTCTTAAGTGTTTTCAGTGTCTTCCTTTCTATAAAAGTTTATTTATGTAACTGCTTAACATCTGAGAAATCACTAACACTTATGTCAATCATTGGCATCTAACCAGGGTGGGCCCTGGGAAAATGGTATTAAGAAAGCAAGGCTTATCTTGAGGTCTTTTCAAACTACCTCTTTTCCATATCTCTCTTCCAACTTCCATGGCCTCATCAGTCTGGCTTTCCCAGGGGGCACAAGGCTCTTAAGCTCATTTTTCCTCCTATTCAAACTGTCCTATGTTGTCTGCATTGTCCCAAATTCTCCAACACATCTCATTAATAGAATCAATTATTCATTTTCCTTTCTTATCACACACCATCTGCTGTGCATTTTCATTCCAATGTAGTATGTGGATGGCATTTTGAAGAATAACATGTTAATAATGAATTACTAGGTTAAGGTGCTACTCCTTTCTGGGAATACCTTTGCTTTATCTGCATCCACATAATTTTTAACTTCAGCTATTGAGACTACACGAAGAGGTAGGGTTATAAAGTCCAACATACATAAAAGCAACTTAAAACTTCAAAGTTAAAACATGTTCAGTTTGAAATGAGACTATAAATATTTTGCTGTAGTGTCTAAGAACATTTTTAAATTAAGGAAAATCTCTTTTCTTTTTTTAAATGAAAAAAAAAATTAAGGTCTTAACACTAAATATTATAATAGAAAAAGGTAAAGATTTAACTAAAACATTTAAGAGATGTAGTCATTCATCCAGAATATATTTAAAATTATTTAAATTTTTAAAAAATGTTTAATTCTCCTTTTGACCCTCTTTTTCTTTGTACTCCAAAGTAACATGCTCCAAAGACTGTACTATGTTTGACCATTTTTCATGCTTTCCATTTATTCTCTTGATGTACCACATGATTTCAACACATTTTTTACAATTTTTCTGGTTTGACTTAGGAGCATTTCCTCTAGTGCCATATATTTTGTAGCATGTAGGACAGTCTACTTAAGTGTTCTGTAATACCCAAAATACTATATAGTGAAAATCAACATCTCTGTGTTCCAGTTTTTCTAGTCCAAATGGCAAACTTATGCTCACAATACTCTAAGGATTGGACCTTTGTATCCTTTCCTGGGGTCTTCACATTTACCTACTTTTAAATCTTTCTAATTATTTTTCTATAATTACTTATAGATACTCTTCTTTACTGATTCATAAAATAGACCACCTAATTTCTGTTACTCTGAGTTTACCTTATATTGAGAACATTTCAATATTTATTTACTTGGCTGGGTAACTTTTCAGATGCCAGAACAAAAGTCATTCATCCAATGAAATTCAGAGACAGAATATACAATAAGCAATAAATTTAACATCTGATTATCCTTTTTTTTTTTAATCAAACACTTAAATGGCACTATTACATGCAAGGCACTATTACAATCCATTTAAAAATATCACCTCATCTGATCTTCATAAAACTATTAGGAGGTAGATATTACAATCATATTTTATGAGTAAAGAAATGAGGTATGTAAAGGTTAAGACCCAGAGTCACACAGTTGGTAAGTTAAGGGGCTGGAATCCTAATGTAGGCCATATCTCCTTACCTCTATATACCCTGTGAGTATACTGAGTGTCTACAGTGTATAAGACCACAATGCAGAATCCCACTACTCACAGCACATTTAACAGATTTTAAAAATATCATGCCACAAGCAACTTATACTTACAAGGAATATCCCTGTATCCAACCTCCAAAGCATGAAAATAATTCATAAATTCCCTAATTGGAATTTTAAAAGCTTCAAAGAGGCCCATGTCTTCAAAAAGTCTGTATGATACCTGTAAAAGACAAAGACCAAGCCTTACCAAATATTCCTCAGTGTGTGTAACACATAGCAAAAAAACGAGAAATGAGTGCAGTCGTCAACCATATTAATTTCCTCCCAGAAGAGCACACTTAAGGAGCTCTGGTGCTGCAGTGATTAAAGCATTGGGCTGGAAACCAAAAGGTTGATGGTTTGAACCCACTAGGTATACTGCAGGAGGAAGATGAGGCAGCATGTGTCCATAGATTTCAGTCTTGGAAACCTTGGAACTGTGGGGCAGTTCTACTCTGTTCTGTGGGATTTCTATGAGTTAGAATCAACTTGGTGGCAGTGGATTTGATTTGTTTTTTTAGAGCACACTTAACTGTAAATGACAAATCAAGTATGCATTGAGGACCTCTATGTGCTTAGCATTTGTAGTCCTTGACCTCTAGGGGTTTATAATCTGCTTTTTTAAAAAAAAATTTTAATGTGATTTAGGTGAAATTTTACAAAGCAGATTCAGTTTACATTAAACAGTTCATACACATTTTGTTTCGTGACACTGATTGCAATCCCCATAATGTAATAGCTCTCCTCCCATTTCCCACTTCCTTCCTGTGATTACCCTTTCCTTGCAGCCTTCTTGCCTTTGCACTTCTTTCCCTTGCTTCTATTATTATTATTATTATCATTATTATTATTTTAAATCTTTTTGTTTGCTAACCCTATTGGTCCTAGACATACCTGATTGTTCAACCTGTCTACCCATCTGTCCACCTGTAGCTCAATGCTTGCCATCACTGAAAATGTACTATACATGTAAAAGGGCTCATCTTTGTTGTCTGTACCTGCCATGTACCTCTCTATTTCATCCTCTTCCTCAATGCCACTGTGTTGATCACTCACATTTGGTACATTGCCCTTCCCTGTAATCTATTTTTATTTTAATTTAATTTAATTTTTTTTTTAACCCAACAGATTTTATTAAAGAGGCGAAAGGGCGCCTGCACTGAGGAAGGACAGAAGAAGAAGAGGAGAAAGAAGAGGAGAAGAGGAAGAAGAGAAGAAGAAAGAAAGAGGAAGAAGGGAAGAAGAGAAGAAGAGAGAGAGAGAGCAGGGGAGAGGGTGGTCTTATATAGACCTGGGGTTAGGAGGTTGTACATCAGAGCTGGGGGAAGAGGTCTTAACCTATCAGAGGCTATGTTGCCTTTTTAAAATTCGCACCTTGCAGGAAGCTCAGTTTCGACTTCCGTTAACTGACTTATGACCTTGGGTGGGGCAGCAGGGAATGAAGAAGAACCCGGAAGAGCCACGCAAGATGGCATGGCATATCTCTAACATTCCCCCCTCTTTGGTTTTTTAAAAGGAAAGAAAGAAGGGTCCGCTTTTGTGGGAAAAGGGGCAAAGGTCAATCTTCTGGAGCTGCTTCCTGCTGGGGAGGGGCACGGCGTCTTTGGAAGTGGGGCCTTCCAGTCTATACATGCACTGCAGTTTGCCTCTTGTAGTACTAACACCAGTTTTCTTTTGCTTCAACTTCAGAGATGCTGTGTTATTTTGCCTGGTTGGTGATTTGTAGTATGTAGAAGTCCCCGAAGAAGAGGCTTTCTAAAGGTGTCGACTCCCAGGGGTTGGCTGGACATGTATGGCATCTGGTGTTCTGGGACCTGTAAGACAGGCTGGGTTGCAACGATTAGGGGAGGGAAGCAAGAACAGGGAAACAGTGGAACCTAGGTGGCCAAGGTATCTTATTAGTAGGGTGGTCTTCACGAGCGCAAGGGAATCTCTTCCAGGTCTTTGGCTTGAAGGATCATTTGGTTTGCTGTCTGTCACAAAATTTGGGTAGATATCTGGCGGACCCAGGCCAGGGCGAAGGTGATGATTTGCTGGTGTGGTTTGCTGGGAAGGCACCAGGGAAGATGGTCACGGGTGCTGGGGGACAGGTCGGAGTGCCAGAAGAATGGGGGGTTCTGGACCCTCTGATGAGGAATTGGGGGCACCAGCAATCCCGCTTCTGACACCAATGTTAGAGCTCCATCAGCACTCAACGACCACGCCACACAGCAGGGTACCCAACAGGAGATTTTATTAAAGAGGCAAAAGGGTGCCTGCACTGAGGAAGGACAGAAGAAGAAGAGGAGGAAGAAGAGAAGAAGAAAGAAAGAGGAAGAAGGGAAGAAGAGAAGAAGAGAGAGCTGTAATCTATTTTTAAAGGTGAAATCTGGACATATACCCAAAAGACAATACAACAGTATATACCCTAGCAATATACCCATGCATAAAGGAGCACTAAATCATATACCATATGGACAACTAGGGAACGATATATAATAAAGTTGTAATTGTATGGTACACACCATAAACACTAAAGAATCAGGTAAAGAAAACTTTAATTTGGACTAATTTTGTCCAAAAAGCTTTTCAGATGACGAGGGACACAGATGTGTGCTTTCATTACAGGTAAGGGGAGAGAATTATGGGAAAAGGAAAGGGCTAGCTTAACTAAGATGTATATAGAGAAAAGATTAATTTTAAACCAATGTAAATAACAATATTTGACTTATTTCCTTCACTTGTTTTCTTCTTTCCTCCTCCAAATACCCATTTTCTTTCCAATTATTCTGACTGTCCTGTTGAATATTTTTTGGATGTAATGGGCATATTTGACATACAAACAATGGAATAAGAAAATAAAATGATGGAAAAATAGAAAAAATTAAAGAGGAAATATGTTGCTATTAATCAAGCAGAAGGAAACATAGCACCTTTAAAATAGCCTTATTTCATGTCACAAAGCACTGTGTTGGTTATAGTTCAGAATATTTTAAGAAAGAATTATTCATATTTTTTATTATCATTATTTTTTATTTAAAATTCTATTGAGATATTTCTTCCAAACTTCACTATACTGCTTCATAGCTAAATTTTTATCTTTTGCTATTGAATTTTTATTCAAATGTCCTAATAGTCTCTCAATTATATATTCACTCTTAAGAGTCAGATATATACACATACATGCATACATATCCCAAAACAAATAACAACAACAAAAAAACTCACTGCCGTCGAGTAGGATCAGACTCATAATGACCCCTCCTTGGGTTTCCAAGGCAGTATCACTATGGAAGTAGATTGCCCAGCCTTCCTTCCGAGGAGTGACTGGTGGATTTGAACTTCCAGCCTTCTGGCTAGCAGTCAAATGCCTTAGGCACCATGCTACCAGAGCTCCCACATACACATACATATCACCAAAAAAGGATTTAATTCATTTAGCATATATTGATTGTCTACTATTTGTCAGACAATTTTCTATGTATGTGGCATATATAGGTGAACAAAACAAATATCTGTTCCTTTATGAAGCTGACAGCCTAGTAGAGGAGGACAGTAAATGAGAGCCATAATAAGTAGTTTATATACTATATCTGAAGGTGATAAATCAAATGGTTAAAGAAAAAATAGAGCAGGCACAGAGGATTAGTAGTGCAGGGAGGGTATGACAGCTCCTATTAAGACACTGGGGTAAGAATATTTAGGGGACATTTGAAGAGAGAATGGAAAGAGATATGGTGTGATCTATATGTATATCTAAAGAAAAAGTTTTCTACACATGCAGTTCAAAGGTCCTAAGGTATGCTCAGTGCATTCAAGAAAGAGGAAGAAGACCCGCATGGCTAACAGAGTTAGCCAGGATAACACAGGAATGTAAGTCAGAGAGGTAAGTGTGGAGTGGGATTGGGGGCTAGATGGACCATTATAAGGGCTTTTATTCTGAGTGAGGCAGAGAGACTAGAGCAGGAAAGTGACTTATTTATGTTTTGAAAAGAGCACTCTACCTGTTAGTTGAAAATAAATTGGATAATTTATTCATCTCAACTTCTATGTGCTTTTCTTCAAGTAATGAAGAACGGCCTATGCACTCCTTCTTTCTTTTCTTTGTAACTAACATTGCTACATATTCTTTTTAAAAAATATTAGAAAGTGGTTTGTAGCTGCCGTCATAGTATATTCCAAGCTGTATCTTCTTTTATTTGTCTCTTCTCTACAACAATTACTTAGGCTGTATTTGAGTTCTTATTCATAAGCACCTAAGGGATTTAAATAAGCAGCTCTGGTGGTGTAATAGGTAAGACATTTGTCTGCTAACCAGAAGGTCAGTGGTTCAAACCCATTAGATGCTCTGCGGGAAGAAGATGAGGCAACCTACTTCTGTAAAGATTTATAGCCTTGGAAACTATAAATCTTTATGGTTGCTATGAGTCAGAGTCGACAATGGTGGTGGGTTGTTTTTGTAGCTAAGTGATTTAACTAAGCATGTTACTTCAATAATAATAACAGCAACAGCACACATATATGCAATACTTAGTGAGAAGCTTGCCCTATGTACTTTACATGTATTAATCATTTACATATAATTAATTCTCATAACAATTTATGAAATATGTACTGTTAATTACTCACATTTGAAAGCACAGGAAATTGAGGATGTTATTAAGTGATTTGTCTAAAGTCACATACCTGACACATATCAGAGTCAGGATTGAAGCCAAGCATTTTGGCTTCAGATTTTTACTCTTAGCTTCTTCAAATCCTATCACCATTATTTCAAAAGCAATGTTGTTGTTGTGGTTAGTTGTCACTGAGTCGATTCTGACTCATTGTTATCCCAGGTAATTAAATAACTAAAGTTTTCTATCTTTCGCTTAACTAATGCAAAGAAAAACAATAAAAATATGAAAAATATAAGACAACCTAGGATATTTTATAGTAGTATTTTAAAACAGTGAGGAGAATTTTCATCAAGAGGCTATTTAAAAAAGAAGAAAAAAACACCAATAATTTTACATGATCATAATTTCAAATTAATTAATTAAAAAAAAAGACACCATTAACTGGGCACATTGTTGTTATTGTTGTTGTTATTTGCCATCGAGTCAGCCCCGACTCATAGCGACCCCTCCTTGGGTTTCCGAGGCAGTATCACTACAGAAGTAGGAATGCCTCAACCTTCCCTCCGAGGAGTGGCCAGTGGGTTTGAACCGCCAGCCTTCTGGTTAGCAGTCAAGTGCCTTAGGCACTATGCTACCAGAGCTCCTAACTGGGCACATACTGGTGACTAAATAAAAACTATTCCAAAATCTGAAGTATATCTTTTTAAAAATCTTAATCATAAAAATCATCAAACAACCAAATAGTATATTGAGGCTAAGCCATTTCCATTGCAATATCTCTCTTTAAAAATATTTTGAAATGAGGTTTTTTTCTGTGTTGTTTCATCAAAAAGATGATTTCCTGGAATGTCTGTGTTAATATTTATCAGCTGTCCTAAAGTCTTACAAAGCAGGAAAAAATATCCCCTCCCCACAATCAAAATTTCATGATTCTTGTGCTTATAAACTCAAAATCAAAGGGGCTAACCCATAAAGTTCTACTTAGCAAGGTAAATTAAGCTACATTTTCTTAAAACTCAATATTTTGCTAATTGGAAAAGTGCACAGTGACATAATTTAAATCACATAAACCAAAAACCAAACTCACTGCTGTCGAGTCAGATCTGACTCACAGCAACCCCTCCTTGGGTTTCTGAGGCGGTATCACTACAGAAGTAGTTGCCCAACCTTCCTTCCAAGGAGTGGCTGGTGGGTTTGAACCCCCAGCCTTGTGATTAGCAGTCAAATACCTTAGGCACTATGCCACTAAACCAAAAAACCAAACACACTGCCCCATGGAGTTGGATCTGACTCATCGTAACCCCTCCTTGGGTTTCTGAGGAAGTATCTCTTCAGAAGTACATTGCCCCATCTTCCTTCTGAGGAGTGGCTGGTGGATTTAAACCGCCAGCCTTCTGGTTAGCAGTTAGATGCCTTAGGCACTACACCACTAGAGCTCCCTTAAATCACATAGAAATGTATATTTTATTTTTGAAAGAAGACTGGGAAAAAGACACATTAATGAATTTAGCTGAAGTCTAATTTTTAATTATGTATAATCTTCCTAATAAGTATTAGTATCACAAGACAACATGAGAATGTTGGTAAAGATCTACCCTTCTACCCCAGAGCTTATGGAACTTCAAAGAGAGCTAAGTACCTGCTAGGGTATTTGGCAATTTCACTTATGCTGTAAAACTGACTACTCTACTTTTTCACAACCACAACCCTACTTTTTCAGATTCCCCATTTGGAGAGTTGAAGACACATGACAAGTGCATATATTTTACAGGAAATTGAGAAGCAGGTGAAATTAGCAAAAGAACAAAACCTGGGCTTTAATATGGATAAATCTACACTGAGTTCTTGGGTTCAATGTTTACTGTATGACTTTGGAAGAATAGGACTCTTTAAGCCCCAGTTTCTTCTGTAAAATAAAGATTTGAAACACAAAACAACAAACAAAACTACCTATACCCAAGTTCTGTGAAGATTAAATTGAAGGGCTTGGGAGAGGCTGTGACATATATAACAAATAAAAAAGAATGTGAGATTTTTCTCTCCATACCAGCAAACCCATTCTGTTGTAAAATAAGAGAAAGAGTTCCCACACTGCACATATTCTGTGGCACCATTCAAGGCTTATTTCCAGGGAAAAGGTACTGCCTCAGAGTTACAGTATGCAATGGATTTCAGAAAGTGGGATACAAAAGCTCCAGGACGGGTCCTGAAGAATAAGGCTAATGTGGACTAATTATATAGATTTGTAATTATTCTGATCTTCATATTCCAACAATTCTTTTAACATATGTCTTTTGTACACATTAAGCTTAACTGTCATTAATTTGTCACATATCTATTTCTCTAATAGACCAGGAGTTCCTTCAGCAAAAAACTCACTGCCATCGAGTCAGTTCTGACTCATAGCCACCCCCAATGGGTTCCTGAGGAAGTAAATCTTTACGGAAGTAGATTGCTCCATTTTCCTTTCCTGGAGCAGCTGGTGAATTTGAACTGCCAACCTATTGGTTGGTAGTGAAATGCCTTAGGCACTGCACCACTAGAGCTTCTTCAGAGTGAGGATATATTTTTCTTCTTGAAGACTAGCCGAATTCTCTGTGTCTGTGGAACCGAACACTAGAGGATAAGGTACTCTATTTTCTCCCTTCAAACCTTCACAAATCAGGAATCATCACTCTGAAGACTGCACCCTCCAACATCTGTCCAGAGGTCTGAAAAAAATCTGTCTCTCATACACAGACCAGAAACCAGTATTATAGGGATATCTCTCAGAATGTTTTGCAGGGAAGTGTTAATGCCCCAATAAAGCCGAGCTGGGTCCTGAATTCTCACCTAAGTCTTATATTAAAAAACTGGTAGCTTTTATTATCTCTGCTGTGATATTTATTTAAACTTTTAAGAACACATGTAAAATATTTCTAAATAAGCTGATAATTATTATTGAATAATTTCTTTTAATTGATTGAGAATATGCATCTGGGTAGATGTTTTATAATATAGCAAATCCATAATTTTATTGCATTGTTTCCTAAGCATAAACATGTTCTCTTAATTTCTGTGCAGGTTTTATTTCTCCTTCAAGGAAACAAATGTCTTTATTTGGGAAGACTTGAAAGTAATCTAGCTTAAAAAAAAGACACACATTTAAAAGGATTGTTATATAGCAAAAGTTCTCATCTGTACTTCTTATGGCAAATAAAGGTATTTTCTATATTAAAATATAGAAAAATCTATTTGATGTTTTTTCTCATAGCATTTGGGGAAAACACTTCTATACAATAAATTATTTTTGATAAGGCCTCAAGATTATAATATGTGAATATTAATAGAAGTCATTGGAAAAATTACAGGCAATTAATTAGTGTTTATACTAGTAGAGTTTGGAGACTGTGCTAGCTTCTCTTTTGCTGAATTCTATGAATTTTATATTGTTTGGCAATCATGCTTATGCTTCCATCCCCCCTTAAAATATACACAGTATTTTAATTGTAGAATAAAGGGTATTCTTCTCGCTTGAGGGTTACAATTTCTTTTGCTAACACCACCAACCAAGGAATCTACAGAGTATTGTGTGATAAGATTTAATTTCTTCAAAGACCACCCATCCACAGTTGTCAAGAATCTACACAGCTTTAAGCAACTGAGGAATTGGTTTTTTCACAGTCATATGTATGAATACTTTTCATACCTGACTAAGAATACGGCCACATTTTCTTCCTATCTTTTCCATCAAATCAAAAATTGGAAAATTCCAAGTATTTAGCTGCTCCATAATTGAGTCCAGGTTATCCATGACAAGAGGTTCAGGAGCAAGAATTGGTTTGTCCTGTAATGAAGATGAAAGGAGAAACATTTTAATGGTATGCAGTTTCTCTACAAAGCAATTTGTGCTTTAGTAAGCTCAATTTAATAAGTGAGGTTACTTGAAACAACTGACTTAAAACTTTACATGAATAAGTGATCTTAAAAAAAAAATTAAGATAAGACAATGACACCAAAGCAAGGAGAAAAGGCCATTGTGCCACTTCATACTAGGAACTTTGCACTGTTTTGTGCTCAGCAATCTCTGGTTTATACAAACTACAGCATGATGGATGTTTATTCCAAAAGTTAAAATGATTTTATTTTGGTCTAGTATTGGTGCAGAGCTGTGAATTACTCAATATGGCTCTTCCAGCCATGGTCTTTGTGACTCTCACCAGAGGAGTGGGTAGGACTATGCAAATGCCAGGTGCTTATGGCCCACCAAGGGGGTTGGAGAGCTTGTAAATAATATACATAAGGTATATGGCATCCTTATGCATGTGGGACCTTGCAAATAAAGTGTGTGGAACCCTAACATGGGGATTGGTCAGTTTTGCCATCCCGATAGACATACAGTGAGCCATCTGAGTGGTGGAAATGGGGCATCTCACTATCATCAAGAAAGAATCAGGATTGGAACATGTCCTGTGGACCCAAGATTCCTGCACTGAACTTCCTTGACTCAGGACAGACAGACAGCTGTAACACTTTGCTGAGATGGTGAGAGATGGTGAAAAGTAATAGCCACGAAATAGAAGCAGCAGAGGCAGCAGAACAAACAGAACCATGAGACTGGCATGAGACAGAATGGCAGGCTTCCTGGCCCACGAAGTGAGAAAGCTGAGTGCCTACAGAAAGGAGGCTTGCTGGCAGACTGGAATGCCCCTCTAGGCTCTGAGCAGGGAAAAGGCCAAGGCCAGAGAGTGGTATGCCTGCAGCATGGCTGAGAAGCAGTTGTCCTCAAAGAAGAAATGTATCCTGAGTTGTTTCTGAACCTGAATTGTAACCTGTTACTTCCTGTTCTAGTTACCTAGTGCCACTCTGACAAGGATATACCACAAATGGGATGGGCTTAATAAACAGGAGTTTATTTTCTTACAGCTCAGGAGGCTAGAAGTCCAAGTTCAAAGTACCAGGATCTAGGGTCTGTGGGAAAGCCCCTTGACCTTGGGCTTCAGCTCTGCCTCTTGCTCCTGGCCCACTGAAGCTAGAGGCATCTCTCCACTCAGGCAGATGCTAGCTACTGAGGCTGACAAACCCAAGGTCAACAAATAAAATGGCACAGTCACAGTGATACCAAACCACATGGCAGGCCATTAATTCAAGTCCATTGTAAGTCCCAAGGTCGGCTGCTGAACAATGACGCGGCCACATGCAGGGTCCAAGCATGCCATAAGCCAGAGACCATTCCCAAGACTTCTCCTTATATACAGGAAGCAGACCATATCCAAAAGGCAGTTATTCAGCTGCTTGTAGTAGATCCCACCATGGAGATGATTGCCAGTCTCCTCATGGAGAATAACTACTACCAGTCCTGGCCAAGTTGACACACAAACATAACTACCATGCTTTCCTAATTGAACTGAGGACAAAAATTAAGCTTTGAATTGCAATATTGAAAGATTCTATGGGCAATATGTTGAATGATGCAGGAAAAAAGATGGATGGACTACACAGAGTCACTATACCAAACAGAATTATGATTATCCATTTCAGGATCAAAAACCAATGGTATTGAAGGAAGAAGTTGAAGCTGCACTGAAGGAGTTGGCAAAAAACAAGGCTCCAGGAATTGATAGACTACCCACTGAGGTGTTTCAACAAATGGATGCCAAACTGGAGGCACTAACTCAGCTATGCCAAGAGATTTGGAAGATGGCTACCTGGTCAACTCACTGGAAGAGATCTCTGTTTGCTCCCATTCCAAAGAAAGGTGATCCCACAGAATGTGCAAATTATCGAACAATATCATTGATATCACACCCAAGTAAAATCTTATTGAAGATAATTCAAAACTGGTTGCAACAGTTATCAGAGAACTTCTAGAAATGCAAGCTGGATTCAGAAGGAGATGTAGAGTGAGGGATACCATAGCTGATGTCAGATGGATCTTGGCTCAAAGCGAAGAATATCAGAAACATGTTTACTTATATTTTATTGACTATGCAAAGGCATTCAATTGTGTGGATCATAACAAATTGTGAATAACATTGAGAAGAATGGGAATTCCAGAACTCTTAATTGTACTCATGAGGAGCCTGTACATAGATCAGGAGGCTGTCATTCAAACAGAACAGGGGGATAGAGCTTGGTTTAAAATCAGGAAGGGAGTGTGTTAGGCTTGTATCCTTTCACCATACTTCTTCAATCTGTATGCTGAGCAAATAATCTCAGAACCTGGACTATATGAAGAAGAACATGACATCAGGATTGGAGGAAGACTCATTAACAACCTGAGATATGTAGAAGACACAACTTTGCTTGCTGAAAGTGAGGATGACTTGGAGCACTTATTGATGAAGAGTCTACAGTCTGCAGTATGGATTATACCTCACTATACAGAAAACAAAAATCCTCCCAACTGGACCAATAAGCAGCATCACAATAAATGGAGAAAAGGAAGTTGTCAAAGACTTCATATTACTTTGCTCTACAAGTAACACCAATGGAAGCAGCAGTCAAGACATCAAAAGACATATTGCATTGGGCAAATCTTCTGCAAAAGACCTCTTTCAAGTGCTGAAGAGCAAAGATATCTCCTTGAAGGCTAAAATGCACCTAACCCAAGCTATAGTATTTTCAGTCACCTCATATGCATGTGAGAGCTGGACAGTGAATAAGGAAGACCGAATAAGAGTTGATGGTTTTGAGTTGTGGTGTTGGCAAAGAATGCTGAAAGCACTGTGGACTGCTAAAAGAACTAATGAATCTGTCCTGGATGAAGTGCAGATGGAATGCTCCTTGGAAGAGAGAATGGCCAGACTTTGTCTCACCTACTTTGGTCATGTTGTCAGAAGGGACCATTCTCTGGAGAAGGATGTTATGCATGGTAAAGTGGAGGGTCAATGAAAGAGGGGAAGGCCTTCAACAAGACGTATTGACATGGTGGCTGCCATGACAGGCTCAGGTATAGTAGGGATTATGAGGCAGGTACAGGATCAGGTAGTGTTTTGTTCTGTTGAATGTAAGGTTGCTATGAGTTGGAAATGGCTCGACCACACATTATAACAACAAAACTTGCCTAATAAATCCCATAATCATAAATATTGTCCATGAGTTCTGTGTGGCCATTGCAATGGATAACTGGGCCCAGCAGAGAAGTGGAGAGTTCCATGGGAGGGATGGTTGGTGTCAGAACAGGTAAAAAGTTTGGAGGATGGCAGCACATCTGACGGCTGCCTCAAAGGAATTAGCCATGGGCTGTTGAAGCTGATAGTGTTTTTCTCTAATTCTCTTGAAGTTAGAGGAAGTCACACATCAGTGCCCCCACATACTTTTACAATAGGGTTCTTCTTCTTCTTCTTCTTCTTTTTCTTTCTCGTGGGTTACATTGTTTTATAAGACACTCTGTTATTTAGCTAAAAAGCAATCCCAGGAGATAGTTTTGGTTCAAGGTTTAAAGGGTATCTCTGGGTGATAGTCTGGACTTTTTAGAATTTGAGATTTTTTTCCACATTTTTCTCTGATTATATCAGCATATTCCACTGTGGCCCTGATCAGAACATTCCATAGTGGTAGCCAGGCATCATCTAGTTCTGGTCCCAGGGTAGATAAGGCAGTTGCTCGTATAGACTATTAGGTGTATAGACTAGTTTTTTGGTTTTCTTTTTTCCCTGAGACTGGTTTCCTTCTTTCTCTTTCGTTCTGGATGAGTAGAGACCAACAGTTGTGTCTTAGATGGCTACTTTCAGGCTTCTAAGACCCCAGACACTACTCACCACACTAGAATGTAGGACACATAAACTTTATGAAGTATATTATCCCAATTGACCAAATTGTCCCATGACACTGTGGTGCTAAATCTTCAATCATAGACCCAAATTTGCAAGGTGTTTGGTTAAGTCTGAGAAGTATTTGTAACTGTGCCTCCATGTGGTTTTTTATATATGTGAATATATATGCATGCCTGCATAAGTACATACGTGTATATACACGTACAAACATGGAGCCCTGGTGGTGCAGAAGTTAAAGTGCTTAGCAGGTACCAGAAAGGTTGGCAGTTTGAATACATCAGCTGCTCCACAGAAAAAAGATGTAATTGCCTGTTTCCTTAAAGATTACAGCCTTGGAAACCCTGTGGGTCAGTTCTACACTGTCTTATAGTGTCACTGTGTCAGAATTGACTCAATGGCAATGAGTATACGTGTGTGTGTGTGTGTGTGTGTGTGTATACATAACCACACACATTTTGGGGGAGGTTGGTGATGTTACAAAATTAAGTACAGTATTCTTAATGAATATTCATGTAAGGACTTTAGAGAACACTGAAATTGTGGGTAAATTTATCTCTCTATATATTTATGTAAGTTTTTATACACTAAAGGTTTCTGGCTATACTGGATTCTGAAAAGAAATCAAAGAATAAGAAGGAGGAGTTAATCACTCCTCCTCTTATTAGTCAAATTTATATTTATGGTTCAGAATTAGCATTAATTCTGTAGAATGACAGTCGCCACATTTTTCAAGGATTTAAAAATAATCCATGTGTTCTACCACTTCCTGAGAAACATGCACCATGTAAATATAAAGATATTTTATAACTTGTCCCTAATATGGATAGTCTTAAAATCATATTTTCAGAACATAGAGACAGAAAATGAAAGTAATGATGATTGAAATAATTTTGTTTCACAATCTATTTGATTTAAAAATGGCAAATTAAGTAAAAGAAAAATGACAATAACAGCAATTGATAATGACATCAGACTTAACTATTTTCTATCATTTCCTGTCTCTGCCAAACTCTACTCAATTATATGCTTTTAATTGGATCCATCTTACACAAAATAAATCATTACTAAATAATATTTTAATACATAACAAGTGTCAGTATAGACTTAGTTTAATATAATAAGGAAAATAAACATTTGAGTTCTTTATAAATAAATACGGTACTAGAGACAAACCAGCAGAAAAAAAAAACCTAAAACAATGAATATTTACATTTCTCTTACTTATAAGTACCATACCATTTAAGATACTGTTTTACAGAATAAAATGATTCTATCTATTAGTTCTTATACTTTTTATTGTGCTAAGAAATATCTGCAATCATTTGTAAAGATGAATACATGTTTTTAATCACCAAGTAACAGACCCATTAAGAGACCAATAAGTCTTAGAAGGCTTATACTTATATGGTAGGACTATAATATACATGTGGTCCAAACGAAGTGTCTGTAAGTCTGACGACTCAGGGATCTGTAGTTGAGCCTAGCTCTATAGTAGAAGCTAATTTCACAAGAAAATGAGTGAGTTAAGTGATAAGGGGCTACCAGAAATATCATGGTCTCCGGGGTGTAGGTGCTGCAAGCTGAAGCTTTCCTCAGTGGCTCTCTCAGGCACTCAGACTCATCTTCATTCTGTACAATATCACTGCTGTCACTGTTGTTATTGGTTTCATAATCAGAGGTAACTTGAGCTGTGTCATCTGCAATGGAAAGAAAACAGCTTATTAGGAGACCTGCAATAGGGAAAAAGTTTCACTTAAGCAAGTTTTTCTGAAATGTATACTGTGAATATAAAATTTAGGAAAATACAGCTTTTAGGAGCTTACACATCCATCAAAAATATAGGATCATAGGGTGGGAAAATGTACATTTTTGAATCCTTAAAGTAGACAGGAATTATAATCTGTGATCTACATGGTATTCAGTAATTCTTCCATAATAACTTTTAGATCAGTAGTTCAAACTTTTTAAAAATCCTGTGATTTTCTACATCGTTTTCCTCTATTCCTACCCCAACATACTAAAGCACAGAGTAACTGACTAAAATGCCATTGACATATCCAAGAACAAAGTGGTCCATAGAGTATCAAGTGATGGCTTAAGAGCTGTTGTTGTTGTTGTTATGTGCCGTCGAGTTGGACCCGACTCATAGCGACCCCTCCTTGGGTTTCCAAGGCTGTATCACTATGGAAGTAGATTGCCCCACCTTCCTTCTGAGGATGGCTGGTGGGTTTGAACCATCAGCCTTCTGGTTAGCAGTCAAGTGCCTTAGGCACTATGCTATGTATTCAATCTTGTCCCCTTGGAGTCTGTGGCTTCCTTCCTTCAGGATCTCCTCCAGTGTCTCCATTTTAGAGAGCACTAAACCGTGCTACCTGAAGATCAAATGTCTGAAGAACACGCTCCTAGGGCAGAGAGTTGAAGAAACTTCTTGTAGTTAAATAAGATACCCGAATAAAACTTACTGAGGGCTTGCTATGTGCCAGGTGTCACTTAAAGCACTTTATCAGTATTGACACATTTAATTCCCTCAACAATCCTATAAGGCAGGTATTACTGCATTGATATTATACTCACTTTACAGATAGGAAACTGAGGCAAAGAAAGAGAAGTAAATAACCCGAGGTCACACAGCTTGTAAAAGTTGCTGCTAGAATTTGAAATCACGAAGTTCTTTACTTTTGATAAAGTCTAGTTTTCCTTTCTTCCTTTTTTTTCCTTTCATGGTTATTACATTCTGTGGGCTAAGAAACATTTGCCTTCCCCAAGGTCGCAAAGATATTTCCCTGTGCTTTCTTCAAGAAGCTTTATCATTTTAGTTTTTACATTTAGGTCTATGCTCCCATTCTTCTTTGCCATTTTGTCGATTCCAAGTCATAGTCACACTGTTAAGACAGAGTTGCCCCATATGGTTTCCAAGGGTGTAATCTTTATGGAAGCAGATTGCCACATCTTTCTCCCTTGGAGCAGCTGGTGGGTTCATACCACTGATCTTTTGGTGAGGAATTTCAGTATAATACAGGTAGTGGTCCCGGAATTACAATAGAGTTCCATTCCAATGACTCTGTCATAAGTCAATTTTTATGGAAGTCAAATCTTTCTCTCTCTCTCTCTCTCTTTCTATTTTTCATTTGCCTGCTACTCAACAGTGTTCTGAATGGTAATCCATAACACTGAATACTGGCAAGTGAACATTTGAGCATAATCAATAAATTATGTGCCACAACACTGTATGTAGTACATATTACTAATCATAAGATGTACCAAAACAAACAAAACAACAAACAAAACCCAGAAGGTCATAAGTGCAACTGTTGTAACTTGCATACATTGTAAATCAAGGATTACTGTACTTAATATGTTGTGAGATAAGGGATGAAGTTCACTTCTTTTTCCCTAACACCGTTTATTGAAAGGATTATCCTTTTCCTCATTAGATTGCTTTGACTACTTTGTTGAAATTCAACTTTGTTATAAAGGAGGGGTCTAATTTGGGACTCTCTATTACACCTAATTTATTTGCCAACCCTTACTGTCTCAATTATGATAGTTTAAATCTTAATGTCAGGACATTTGTTTTCTCTTTGTTTTCCTTTTTTTGGATATTCTAGGTTTGTTGCATGCCCTTATATGTTTTCTAACTGATATTAAGTTTCTAGTGAATAATGACTTGTATTAAGTAGTCTATTCCAATCAGAAATATCTTGTAGAACTTTTCCAAAGACCCATCTTTCTCATGTAACAGCTACTATATTAGAATTATATAGGGTATGAAAATGTAATTGACAAATTTCAATCCCAGATTCTGTAGAAAAATGGCAAATCTAGACCTGGAGAAGCCACTGAAAGGTCACAGCTCTACATGAAAACACAGAGCTGATAAAGACATATTCTTCTTAATGGTCTCATCCCCAGTAGAGTTAGAAAAGATCAGGGAAAGGCAAGGAAATATTCCAAGTCTTTAGAAAAGTTACATCATCATATGGTAGCCACCTAGAGAACTATCCCTTTGATTTCTTTGGTGTGTGTCCTGTGCCTTCCACTCTGCCATAGCACACCATTCTTACAGGCACACAACCAATCAACAATCACTATTTTTTCAATGTCTACCAAGAAATGTCAGAGCAGAAAGTCAAGAATCATTCTTTGTTAGCTCTATCACTCTAAAATCAGTTGGTGATAGAAACATTTTTCCCCTACCCCTTGTGCACTCACAGCACTCGCAAAAAGCATGTGTTCCTGGGGTTCTACTGATAAAAGTGAAATTGTTATTATTATAGTAATAGCAACAAATAATTTACTGCTTACAGTCACCTATGTGCTATAATAAATGCTTTATATGCTTTAAGAAATTTAATTTTCACAATAAACTTGTACAATAGGCACTATTATTTTTGCCATCCTAGAAGTGAAGGGATTTAGGCACAGCGGTTAAGATTAAAACTAAACCAAATTCACTGCCGTGGAGTCGGATCTGACTCATAGTGACCCCTCCTTGGGTTTCCAAGGCAATGTCTCTAGAGAAGTAGATTGCCCAACCTTCCTTCCGAGGAGTGGCTGGTGGGTTTGAAATGCCAGCTTTCTGGCATTTCAGTAGTTAAATGCCTTAGGCTCTATGCCACTAGAACAGAGCTCCTAAGGTTAAGATTACAAGTCCAGTAAGTAGTGAAATCATGATGGCTGGCTCCAATGCCTGTGCCCTTAATGACTCCACAGCACTGCTCTAGGAAAACTATGCAACTTCACAGCAATAGAAGCAGTATCATTTCTGAGGATCTGCCATGGGGATCTCCAGAGTGTACGCCAAAATGAAAGGCTCTGCAAAGCCTGTGTAGCAAAATCAAATAATATTTCCATATGGTTCTTTACCAGTAAACCAGTTACCAGTAAGGTAATCCTGACTCAGAGCAACCCAGGTTTGTCAGGGTGAAACTGTGCTCCATAGCATTTTCGATGGCTGAGTTTTCAGAGATAGATAGCGGGACCTTTCTTCTGAGACCTCTGGGTGGACTCAAACCTCTAACATGTCGATTAGCAGCCACACACGTTAACTCTGTGTACCACCCAGAGACTTCTATGGTTCTTTAGATTTTGTAAAATGGCCCTTCATTTTTGTAAAACAAATACATACTTGTGTATAGATACATAGCAACATTATGAACAGCTTTGCACCAAAATTTTATTCATGATTAATGTTAGGTTGTAGGATTATGAATTGCTTTATTTTCTATCTTGTCTTCTTTAATTTGTAAATTTTAAAATCAGGAGCACAACTTTCTTTTTTGATCAGAAAACTAAATATGAAACAGTAATTTTCATTTTGAGAAACAGAATTTGAAACAAATGAATTACCTGTTCTGCTTGGAGTCTGAATGGTTGTATTGCCTTTCTCCAGTGACCCATCAGCAGGATTCCCTTGGGAATATGGTCTGCCACAGCTGAGAAATATTGGAGCACATTCAAAGAAAATATTCTCTTTTCAAAAAAAAAAAAATCATAGGCACACACTACGTATGTGCACATTAAAGTCGATAATAATAATAATCAAATATTTCTACATTTTATTGTTTGTTTCATGGAAAAATATTTTTTAATACACTGTGATATTTGAGATATATATGTGTGTGTGTGTATATATATATATATTTGTACATATATATATATATTTCTTTTTGGTGATAGAATGATTAATGTAAAGGATTAGAAATTTCTTTTTACTCTTATCCTTTCCTCTCCCTAGTAAAGGACTTATTTGGTATTAACTACAAGCAAAATTTGTTATATTATTTAGCAAATACTGGGATAAGTTGCTACTTATTTAAAATAGTGATTTTGGAGTTGTCAATATATATTTGGCAAAAAATATCTTCCCCAATGGAATAATCTATTGTTGTTGTGGTTATGTGCCATTGAGTCAGACCTGACTCATAGCGACCCCTCCTTGGGTTTCCGAGGCAGTATCGCTACAGAAGTAGATTGCCCCATCTTCCTTCCGAGGAGTGGCTGGTGGGTTTGAACTGCCAGCCTTCTGGTCAGTGGTCAAACACCTTAGGCACTACGCCACCAGAATGCCTGATCAGAAGCCTCATTATTAGATTTAGTTCTTTGGGTTAAGACATATGATGTTCAAAGGGTCTTTTACAAGGTAAATAGATTTTTAAAAGAGGGTGAGGGCATATTAGTTGTATTTTTTAACCACAAAATTAAAATGAGTTTATTTTTCAAGTTGGTCAATCATCTGTTAAGATGCTAAGGAAATGATCAAAGAAGAGGTATCTTTCTAGATTGCTTTGGATATTCTAGGTTTTTTGGGTTTCCTTATGCATTTACTTACTGATTTTTTTTATAATGCTAATGATTAAGTACTTTCTGAAAACAGTCTATTCCAATCAGAAGTCACTTGCAGGAATTGGAGAATTAATGTAAGGTTGATAGCATAAGGTGCTGGGTGAAAACCAAACACAACACACACACACACACACACACACACACACACACACACACCCCAACAGGCCAAGGAGGCATATAGTGGGCAAACAAGAAGAATGAAGGGACTCGAGAGGGCCACAGAGTTCCGTAATAGAGAAAGTTGGAGGATGTAGGATACTTTTGCTTTCTAAAGAGTTTTGATTATTTTCTGAACTAAAAAGCAATCCCACAAAAGGTCTGGCAAGGTCCTAAACTGGCTCCTCTCTCATTTATCTTGTTTAGAGCCCTCAGAGTTAAATTTTCATTTGGCATTTTCCTGTTGGATTCCTTCCTTCTGTCTAATACTGCAAAGGGTCTCAGAGAGTATTTATCATTTAACTACTTTGTACTCACTCTAAAATGAGAAGAAGTGAGAAATAGTTTTCTGTTTAATATATTAAATATATCATCATTTTTTCCTCCTAAATTGTGTTTGTATGTGCGATGGAGAAAAGAAAAGATAAGCATTTTCTAGCAAGAGAGCAAGAAAGTAAATTTAATTCAAGCCTTGAGTGAAGTGGAAAACTATTATACACACAATATTTTTTATTATGCAATCTCATCAGTTTGACTTTGTTGTTGTGGTTAATCGCCGATGAGTCGGACCCGACTCATAGCGACCCCTCCTTGGGCTTCTGAGGCAGTATCATTACGGAAGTAGATTGCCCACCCTTCCTTCCGAGGAGTGGCTGGTGGGTTTGAACCGCCAGCCTTCTGGTTAGCAGTCAAGTGCCTTAACCACTATGCTACCAGAGCTCCCACTATGCTCCTTAGGGAATCAAAAAATAAAATGGAAAGAAAAGTTGACAGGACTGAACTGGGGAAAAAAGTACTGTATTTTTACGCAAATAACATGTGACTTCTACATTTGTTTGCCAACTGCTCTCTCCACCAGGGAGTATTTCTGTAAGCACTGCTATGCCAGTTTTCTTTTCTTTCTTTCTTTCTTTTTTTTTTTTTTTGAAAAAAAATAAACATGTTGCTGTTTAAAAAATTAGCATAATACATTTACAAAAATACCTCCCAAGGGAAGAGAGCGGGTGGCAAACAAATGTAGAAGGCGCGTATTATGTGCGTAAAAATATGGGTACATGCAATTGATGGGCTTACATTCTTGGATTAAACTTGGTGGTCTCTAATTAGAGTTTATTGGTTTTAAGATTTTCATTGTAAAATAATATTGAAAGGGAACATTTAAGTTAGTAGTTCAAATATACTAGCTCTTATGCCAGAAAAATAGCTTGTTGCATAGGCATTGCAGTGGCCAACAGACTAGGATTCAAGGCCAAACCCATCAAGTTCAGCAGGGGAAACCACAATAATTGGCTGTGTGCTTTTGGAGCTCTCTGTGGCTACATGGGTGGCTGTCTTGAAGGCAATAATAAAACCTGGTTTAAATTATAGATTTATGAAGCCCAAACAAATAAAACACACACTACTGGATTTATAAACATTATTGGATTAGTAGGCAGTGAAGTTCCCTTGTTTTTTACTGAATCTTCTTTTATAAAAATTCTATTACTTTTTTTTTTCCTGCTACAAAGGAAAAAAAAAGGATGATGATTAGACAAGCTATGTGAGCAGTAAATATTTTCTGAATATCTTTCTCCTTTCTTTAGGCTACTTATTTTCCACAACTCTGGAGTCCACAGTGGGAATCCCCTAGAAAAGCGAGAAGCAGATGTCTGAGACACAGATTCTTCTTCTGGGTTTCATTTTGACCCAGGATGTATACCACAAAACATTATTTCTTAAGTATGTTCTAGCAAACCCTAGATTCAAGGGCAATTACTGGGTGTTAATCTAGAGAAATTGGTTCTATGATCAAATAAATTCAGAAAACACTAGATCACACAAAAATTCACAGGTGTCCTTTTAGCAGGACTTGTCAGAATATTTAATAAAGGGATATATGTTGTCAATCTTTAACAGAAAATATGATATGGCTTTCATATATTTTAAAATAAAATGCATCTTTTGTGGGGGAAAACAGATGGGATTAACATTCCACAAAATTATTTTTCAAAATACCTTTCATAGAAAGGCAGTAGAGTAACTTTTGGACAATAAAATAATTTTTTATTCTGGCCCTGTCCAAAAAAAAAATAAATAAATAAACAAACAAAAATGATTTTACCTTTTAAAAATATTTGGAAAGAGAAAGTAATAAAAAAAAAAGATGATAAAATAAATAACATTCATTTAGTTTACAGAATTTACTAACATCTGAAAATGAAACTTACGAAGCTTAATCTAGTTGCTAATACTTAAAACTGAAGACACTGATACAATCTGAGTCTGTGCACTAATATTTGATACCCGAAGACCAACACACCACTAATTTAATCAAATATTGGCCATCATTAACTTTGTTGTTTTTGTTATGTGCTGTCGAGTTGGATCTGACTCATAATGACCCCTCCTTGGGTTTTTAAGGCAGTATCACTATGGAAGCAGATTGCCCAACCTTCCTTCTGAGGAGTGGCTGGTGGGTTTGAACTGCCAGCCTTCTGATTAGCAGTCAAGTGCCTTAGGCACGACACTATCAGAGAGAAATATAATTTCATTCAAGGTGCTCTTGCGATTAAATTTAGTTTAAAAGTACTAGACCCTTTCCTATTTAAAAATTAGTATAATGATCTAAGATCAATTATTTAAGCTACTACTGAAGAACAAACAAAATATATTAATCAGTACAGACACTCTTTCTTAGTGACACTGTTGGCAGAATAAATACTCCTACCATGCTAGGCCCTTTTTTCTTATCCTCACTCATAGACAACACTTTGCAATTCTTTTTCAACAAGAGAGAGCAACCCAAACAATTGCTTAATTGTTTTCAGACAACTATTGGGATCTAATCACAAGGTGGTATGTATTATGTGTACATTTTTAAATTACTTAAATGGAAAAGTAAAAACCATTTCATCAAAATATAAAGTTACATCAAATTGGCATAATTTAAAAATAATATATATTTTATTCATCCTCTACCAGTAAGCAGACAAAATATGCAACCAATTATTTTGAATCATCTTCAAAGTTTGAGTTATGGACTCTACAACATCTATTAATAGAAATAAATATATAAATAAATAAGTCCCTGGTAAAGCCTATTCATCATAAAGTACAGTATCCTATATAGGCATGGCTCAAAGACACTGCAGATTCGATTCCAGACTACAGCATAAAGTGAGTATCACAATAAAGTGAGTCACACAAATTCTTTTGTCTCCCCATGCTTACACTATATTGTAGTATATATATTGTAAGTATTAACTGTGTAATAGCATTATGAAAAAAATTGTAATATTGTGAGAATGACCAAAATGTGACACAGACACAAAGTGAGTACATGCTGTTGGAAAAATGGCACTGACAGACTTGCTCGATGCAGGGTTACCACAAAGCTTCAATTTGTAAAAAATGCAGTATCTGTGAAGTGCAATAAAGTAAAGCACAATAAAACGAGGTATGTCTGTACTTTCCTGTCATCTTCTTTGGAAACTTACACAAAGCTGTGTGAACTGGTGGTGAGTTTTCCTATGCAGAAAATGATACGAAACCCTTACCTGCTACATATAAGAAGTGGAGTCAGGATCTGAGGGGATAGGTCAGGGGCACTCTGGGTATAATAACTTAAGGCCCTGTGAGAACTGAGGCCTTGTTTGGCAGTTGTTTCTGCAGATTCGGGAAACTGTGCTGCAGAAATTTTGCTGATTGGGCTGCTGGCAGGAGTCCCTTGGATAGGTGAAGAGCAGGGCGATGAGAGAGGTGAAATCTTAGCTAGGGCATCTGAGAAAGAAGAGAGATATTAAGTCACTAAATAAATGTCTTTGAAATGCAAAACTGCAACTCTTAAACTTCACCTCAGACTCCATTAACTCACTAACAACCTTGTGCTCAGGGCACTTGGGCTGGCCTTTGCATGCCACCAACTGGAGACAGGGTGTGTGTTTGGGGTGTCTCCACTGTATGAAATAAGAGTGATGAATTGTGAAAAAAATCAGTGGTAATGCTGGCAAATACAGTTAAAGTCTTAGTATATTGGAGTGATTTCAGGACAGACAATTATTATTTTCTTCTGCTATTTTGGTTTATTCTTGCCATTCTGACACGATGACAATAAGCTTCTTATGTGTTTGCCTTCTCTCATGTTATGAAGCATTTGGGGCAGGAACAAGACCTTCTGTGGTTTTAAACACCAACAAGTACTGGAGCAGAGTTCTGAAGGCATCAGGCACTTAACCACATGTAAATGAGAAGATAAATTTTTGTGAGGCAATTAACCATACCCATTTTCAATGAAATGGCACTTGGATCAAAATAGTTTTTGAAGAAAACATGAAAAGGTGTATTAATCCATTTCTGATCAAAATAATATACCTAAAACTTCAATTTAAAGCACTGAAAATGTTAAATCTTGGTATTTGTGCCAAACTGCCTGTGTTTACTCTGTATTATGAGAATTTTACAGGACACTAGCTTAGATTTCAAAGTACCAGTGTTGGGGTAGAAGATTATATCTTTTGAAGTTGCTCTCTCCCATACATAAAGAAGGAAGCATATTCTTAAAATTGAAAAAAGAAATAAATGAACAACTACCTGTTTACTATTTTTAATGATTTGATGGCTGAGTAACTGACTTAAGGGTAAATGAAATGAAATCATTAAAAGTCATTCTCTGTTTCTCACCACTTAGGGGAATTTAAAGCCAGAGGCTTTAGGTCATCAAATAATTGTTGTTGTTAGGTGCCACTGAGTCATTTCCTACTCATAGTGACCCTATACACAGCAGAACGAAATACCACCTGGTCCTGTGCAAGGTCCCTGATCCCGCCTATACTTGAGCCCATTGCCGCACCCACCACATCAATCCATCTTGTTGAGGGCCTTCCCCTCTTTCGTCGACCCTGCACCTTACCAAGCATGACATCCTTCTCCAGGGAATGGTCCCTTCTGATAACATGACCAAATAATATATATGGTTAATGGCTACTGGCTCAGAGCACAATTTCCTTAAAATGCCTACTCCTTTAAAAGTTTTATTTATCACATCCAAATGTTTTCAGGTCCACTAGAAGGAATATTATGCTTGGTGAAGGATTTTTGCAATTTTCTTTTTAAATTTCTTGTTGGCACTGTCATTTGCTTTGTTTTGATTAAGTGTGGACAGTAGCAATCCCTTCCTAGTCATTATTTCTATTGTTGATACCTGATCAACAGATCAACTCCCCTACCTTTATATGCAGCCAATGAAGCCATTTTGGACCCAGAGAAGTTAGTGTTTTCAGATGAACAATACTAGGGAGTGGGAGAATATGGCATGAGCCCAAATATTCTTAGTAAAATGTGGTTTATTACCTTTTACTTTTATCAGTGACTGCCCAAGGTGGAAGAAAAATCCATTATGTTTTAGGAAGCATTTGCATTGCTTGCTATAATGACAATTATGGTATTTATTTTGATTTCTATAGCTGTTGTAAAGATTTAACTATTTTACCCAAAATACTGAAAAACTTTCACATTACATAGTTTCAATCAGTTGTCTTCTGGGCAAAAAGAAAAATAAGTATATTAAATTTTTAGCTCAGAGTTTCCCAACCAATGCATAACTGTGTACAGTGAGTGAGTTTCGAGTATGTTGTGAAGTACTAATGGTTGCAAATTAAAAAGAGCAAGAAGAGGAGAAGGAGGAAGAGGAGAGGCAGAACAAGAGAGAGGAGAAGAGAATCATTTACAATTACCACCCAAAAGATGAAGTATTTAGGAATAAAATTAACCAGTGACACAAAGGACCTATATAAACCTACAAAACACTAGTCTAAGAAACCAAAAGAGACCTACATAGTTGGAAGACTATTCCATGCTCATGGATAGGAAGACTTAATGTAAAAATGTCAATACTACCCAAAGCAGTCTAAAGATATAATGCAATCATGATCCAGATATAATACAATCCTGATCCAGACTTCATCATCATTCTTTAGAGAGATGGGGAAATCTAATCATCCACTGTATCTGGAAAGGAGAGACTGTCGATAAGCAAAGTGCTACCAAAGAAAAAGAACAAAGAAGGTGGATTCACACTTCCTGATACCTACTATTCTGCCATGGTGGTCAAAACAGCCTTGTATTGGTACAATGACAGACACATAGACCAGTAGAACTGAGTTGAGAATCCAGAAGCAAAAATGTCCACTTGTGGCCAGCTGATCTTTGAAAAAGGGCTGAAACTTATAAAATGGTGAACAGATAATTTCTTTAAAACATGGTACTGGCAAAACTGTATACGCTTTTGCAGGAAAATGAAACAGAATCCAATATCTCTCACCATATGCAAAAAATGAACTCAAGAGGAATCAAAGACCTAAATATAAAACTTAAAACTATAAAGATTATCAAAGAAACAATATATTGGGGCAAATTTAGGGGGCTTAATACATGACATAAATACAATATCAAACATAACTTAAAATGTACAAACAGCAAAAGGCAAAGTAGATGACTGGGACCTCCTAAAAATTAAACATTTAATCAAAAGACTGCCAAAGAGTGAAAAGAGGACCTACAGACTGGAAAAAAAAAATTGTCAACAACATATAGCACAAGGGACTAATCTCTGAAATTTATAGAAAACATCAACACTTCCACAACAAAAAGACAAAAAATCCAATTTAAAAAATGGGCAGAGGACATGGACAGACACTTTACCAAAGAAGATATTCATGAAACTAACAAACACATGAAGATGCTCGTGATCAATAGCCTTTAGAGAGATGCAAACCAAAACAACAATGAGATATCATCTCACCCCATCAATAATAACCAAGCTCAACAAGACAAAAACAACAAATGCTGGCAAGGGTGTGGAGAGATTGAAACTCTCACACACTGTTGTTGGGATTGGAAAAGAAAAAGGTGTTTTCTTAAAAATTTGGAAAGAGAAATACCATTTGATCTAGCAATATCATTACTAGGTATATATTCTAAAGAAATGAGAGTGGGACACAAATAGATATATGCACACCATGTCCAGTGCAGCACTATTGACAATAACCAATGGAATATAACCTATGTGCCCATCAATGGTTGAATGGATAAGCAAATTATGGTATATACACACAATGGAATATGATGTAAAATTAAAGAATAATGAATCTTTGAAACACCTAACAATGTGGATAAACTTGGAGGACATTATGCTGAGTGATAAAAGTCAATCACAAAGGGACAAATATTGTATAAGTCCAGTACTATAAAAAGTCAAGGAAAGGTTTACATACAGAAAGAAATATTTTTTGATGAGTACCAGGGATGGGAGGAGAGGGGAGGGAAAAATACTAATAACAGTAACTATGGATACATAAATAGCCACGCAAGCTGAACAGAGGTGGGAAGGGAAAGGGACTACATCCATGAATATATGTAAGTTTGACAGGATATTTCTACTTATGTATTTATATTTGCTGTAAATATATTCATGAATTTAGTGGGGCATACAGGGGGCAACTTCCTAGTTATAACCATACATCCAGAAGGAATGAGTCACTGCCCATGGCACAACATAGTCTGCAAAGACAATAGTGTACATCCTATTGGGGCAATCTACTTCCGTAGTGATACTGCCTAGGAAACCCAAGGAGGGGTCGCTAAGAGTCAGGGCCTACTCCACGGCACACAACAACAACAACAACATTAGGGGAGTAGCACCTGGAGTCTCAAAAGTTATTAAGTATCCATCTAAGGTGCAACTATCAGTCTCTTTCTGTCTGGAACAAAGAAAAGTGAAGAAAATTAGATACACAAGGAAAAATTAGTCCAAAGGACTAATGGTCAACATGAACCCCAGCCTCCATGACTCTGAGACCAGAAGAACTAGATGGTACCTAGCTACCAATGGGATACCTCTCGAAGGAATCACAATAGAAAGTCTCTTATAGAGTGGGAGGAAAATGTGGTACAAAACTCACTATGACTATGGCCCTGAGACACCCTTCAAGCTGGGAAATGAATTCAACCATGTCTCAACCTTCAGCCACATGACAGATAGGCCTATAAGGTGAATAATAATACCAAAGAGGTATGCACTTATTAGAACAAGCAACCATAGAAGGTCAAAAGGGCAGCATTTGCTCAGGTGTCAAGCTCAGAAGGAAGAAAAGGATCGGAAAAAAGGAGAAGGGAATTGGTACCCATAGGGAGGAAGTGGGAAGAGTGCTGTTACATTGTGGCGATTGCAATGAATGTCACAAAACAAAGTGTGTATGCACTGGTGGATGGAGAACCAATTTGCTCTGTAAACTTTAACCAAATTACCAAAAAAAAAAAAAAAAAAAAAAATCAGAGAGACCCTTGATGTACATTGCTTTCGACAGTTCCCTTTATCTTTTTTTCTTTTTAATAGCAAATTGTGAGTTTTCTGACAGTTTTCCACAGGCTTTCTTTTCTTTTTCATTCTTTCTTTCTTTCTTTTTTTAAACAGAACTGTAGTTGAAAGCCTATGGCAACACTGTCCATTTCTGTCTTGACACAATATAATTTCTGAAGGCAACTTAAGAGAACATTTTTTTTTTCATTGTTAATATTTAAGTAGTTGCCAGCTGATATCCTCATAGAAATGCAATCCACTCTTAAATACAAATTTAAAAATCCACTCAACCATTAGAGTTCTTGGAACTCACGGATTAACTAAATTTAAACAAATAAGCAGACTTTAAGACTCCAAATTTACTGCCTAGGACAAATTTTAAAATAAACTTTGCAACAGAGAATAGGCTTTATGGCTCTGCAGT